AATGCTCTCTTGGCCCAGGAGGCGTGTCTTGGTGTACACTAGCAGCTTGTTAGCAGCAAACATGGTCCGGCGGTGTGTTTTTGCAGACTGTCCAAGCTAGCGACTGATACTGATATTTTTGACTATTTGGTATGGCAGGAGGACATTTCCTAATTTGCATACTTATGCATATTCGTAGATCCAGATATTTTGTACTATATATTTCTTTGGTTTATTTAAATTTTATTATAAATGCATATATGTATATAAAGGATGATTTCAGGGAGTATTATTCAGTATTATTCTCCATTTTAAAAAAAATAGATATTAAATCAAATGTTTAGTGGCATTGTAGAGGAAACTTTTTTACTAAATGATGTAATAATTATACAATATTTATACAACTAAGCAATAAATTAAGTTTGAAAGAAATTAGTAGATAATGCTGGTCATAACTTCATCCAGTATTTAAGGCATCACTCGATACAAGCAAAGGCGCAATCAACAGCGCCGCTGTCCCGAGCCCTGAGTGTGAGCGTGCGGTGTTCCATCCCTCACGCTGTGGCTGCACACTGGGGCAGACGGAGAGACGTATTGAGACGCCGGGGTCGGGATCAATATCCCAGCCTGAAATGCCGTAGGGCTGCTGGTCGTCCCTGACCCGGATTATTGATCAGCCGTGCCTGATCTGCCAATAGCAATGTTCTGGAAGTGACACAGGCTCTGAGAGCAGACGGCAGGCAGAGAGTAAAGACTGGGGGGTGAGGACGTGTAGCGCCGGTAGCAACCCCACAGCAAAGCGCAGATAAAAGTCAATCCCACTTAACCAAATCACTCACAACTAAATAGTTAGCTGGTAGATGGAGGAATGTGCACGGGTATCAGGTGGTGGTGGTTGTGTTGACTTCCCTCAGGCCTACAGCAATCCTGCACAGTGTGTATTATTACTTTTATATATATATATATATATATATATATATAATTTGTGCTTATGTCTATACACATCTATAAATCATGTATATACTCTTTATATATACACCTGTATTGTTCTTCTTACTATCTCTTTTCTTCTCACCTGTCTTGCTGCTGCTATGACACCCTAATTTCTCCATCCGGAGATGAATAAAGTCTTATCTTATCTTAAAACAAAGAAAAATCCCTGGTAAAAAAAATAAACAAAAATGTACATTTATTAAATACACCACTGAGTCAGGATGGAAAACTCAACAGCACCATCTGTATATTTCTCTGCCAGTGGTTCTCCCTCCTGATCCATCATTCTTTATCAGTCCATATTGGAGAAGTTTACATGTCCACTGCCTGCTCATTGCCATTCTCAGCCATGGGTCTTGCGTTCTGTTCACCACCTTTCTCCAGCACCATATCTCCCTCTGTAATTACTGAGTGACAGAAAAGCAATACCGGCCACTTCATTATGAAACAGGAAGAGTGACCGCTCCTTACTCGCTCCACATATCAGGCCAGTCTGACCCACACTTCCCAGGTCAGGGAAGGTCAATCACCCTGAGTGTATTCTCTGTGTCGTATGCGGGGTCAGAGATTTCGGCAGGCAGGTATTGATCAGCAATCGTCTGCCTCATTTAAGGCGAAAGCTCCTGGAGTAGGAGACTAGGCAAGTAACTGCTGGTTCTTGAAGAACCAACACAGGTAATATACAAAATAATATTAAAAGGTGATTAATTATACTAAGAAAACAAGGAGGACAAAAAACACCAGTTGGATACAGAGGGACAGTTTCTCTGGGTGTGTGTGGTTAACTGGGTATTAATAAGCTACTCGAGGGAATATGTGAGTCTTACAAACAAGAGGAGACTTGTAAGTTAAATGTAGACTGTTTTACAGCATACAACAGTAAGATTTCTTCAATGTGTCTCTCTGGGTAAAGGCTTACAATACCCTAGAACAATTGTGCTCCAATAAGAACCGGGTTAAGAAGCTAAGAACCATCAACCACCCAAAGAACCCTCAGCACATATGACTAAATATACATGTAAGAAAAAAAAAAAAAAAGCTACAATCCAGTTGTCAAACACTATATGACTAAAAGTTTGTGCACACCTCATCATCAGACCCATATGTGCTTGATGAACATCCCATTATAGATTTAGTCCAGCTTTAGTGTTATAATAAGCTCCACTTTTCTGGGAAGGCCTTCCACTAGATTTTGTAGAGTAGCTGTGGGGATCTGTGTTCATTCCGAGACGAGAGCATTAATGAGGTCAGGTACTGATGTTGGGACACTGAGGAGGTCTGGGGTGCAGTCGGGGTTCCAGTTCATCCCAAAGGTGTTTAACGGGGTTGACGTCCAGGCTCTGTGCAGGACACTCGAGTTCTTCAACTCCAACCTTGTCTTGAAGCATGTCTTCACAGAGCTCGCTTTGTTCACAGGATCATTGCCATTCCAGGACACACTCTGCTCATACTGAACATCTGTTTGTGTTTACTCTTCTATACCTGTATACTGTAGCGATTTCTAATCCCACTAAGATGTCGACGGGTTCCCTTTTAAGTCAAAAACGTCGACTTTGTGTCATCTCCGAGAGTTGTTCCTCGCCGCTGTCGCCTCTGGTTTGCTCGTTAGGGTTCGGAATCCACTTCGTGATGTCTGTAAAGCTGCTTTGTTCAAACTGAACAACACTGAACGAGCCTCAAAATGGCAAACTCCTCAGAGGCCGAATGAACAAATCTAGTGATCGGCTAGCTCAAATCTACACCGAAAAGGCACCTGGATACTAATCAAATCCAACAGATTTGGCTTCATCAAAGACGACGTTGTTATCCTAAGCCCCGCTGTGTCACCACGCGTCCCTCTGAAACCACTAAAGTTAAAGAGGACATGGCGGTGATCAATATTTGTACAAGTCAGCATCAGTTACTCCCCAGGTCCCACAGGGTTAATCCATTTGCAAAACCAAGTCGCTGTCAGTCTTGGGTGTCGCATTCACGGCTCGACGGCTCACGACACACGGCAGGGTGGAGCACTTTAAACCCGAGACCGTGTTTGAAACGGTGAAGCGCTCGTGTTAGCACACGTCCCTCTACGTGTCGAGTAGCACAGCGTCAGATGCTCGTCAGATCTCCTTCTCGCTCTCTCGCATTAAACGACAATAAAGGCAGGAGCAGCCGAGAACAGCAGCCCTCCCGTTTTTCTGTTTTTATTAGGCTTTGTTCCTTTTAATCAAAAAAAAAAAAAAAAGTGACTAGCAACGATAACCCGTTTTTTTTTTTTTTTAAAGGATCTCAGATAAATACTGACGATCGCGTCTTTAAATAATAAATGATACCTCGGCTTCACAGAGACACGCGTATAAGGGGAAAATAATTGAAGACAACAGCGTCGTATAAGAGACCCAGTTTAGCGGCGCTGATTCAGAAACCTTTCAGACTTCAAAGTATGAATAAGCTCTTAAAGAAAAAAAAAAAGAAAGAAATAAATAAAAATCATGCGCCTGGTTGCAATTTCCTTCTAATTAAAGCCTACACTGTAGAGGTTACTTGTACTCGATTCGATCTGGTGCATAGATTTTATTTGGGAAGAAAACGCATACAAGCATTTACGGAGAGAAAACAAAAAAAAGGGTTTGAAAATGATACGTTGAGCAAGCTTTGCTTTTAGACGGTCACCTGAAGGACCAGCAACGCCTGGAGCTTGGAGATATTTCAGGACAGGGATCACACAGCAGCTACAGTATGTGCTCAGTTTGTCTTGATTTCTCTGTAAATAAATAAATAAATAAATAAAGAAAAGAAAGAAAGAAAGAAAGAAAGAAAGAAAGAAAGAAAGAAAGAAAAAGAAAGAAAGAAAAGTGCGGCCACTTCTTCTGGCTTTGTCGTTCGTCGAGTAAAACCGGTTATGGAACGAATCAATCAGCACAACAAACATGAAAACAGTTCAAAAATAAGGCACCAGAGGGGAAAAATGGGACACAATTAAGTTTCGACACGTCCCTCATGATGTTCTCTTGAAAGGGCATGTCACATGTCTGTTGCTGGATATCAACAGCAGTTTAAAGAAGCATCAGCGAGGCAGGGTCCTCGGCGGTGCTTATGCGGATGCCGCTGAGCTGATAGCGTTGAGAAGTCTATCTAAGCCTATCACTGACATTCAAGTTTTGCTCTCCTACTGCGCAGGGAGAATCAAAGTGGCATCAAACATGCACAAATTTGCGACGTTGTACACAACTGTAAAGATTTACCAGGAGTGGGGGTGGGGTGGGTGGGGGTAAGAGTAAAAAATAACAGGGATCAGAAGGTGTGACTCACACTCGGTCAGTCTCATTACTTTCACGCCGCAACGATGCCTCTTGATTGTGTTGGAAAGATAATAAAAGCTTATGGAAAAAATAAATAAATAAATAAAAAGAATTAAATCTGAGATTACTTCCCAGGCTCGTAAAACAGAAACCGGCATCTGTATGGAAGAGATTTGAGGATTAACGCATTATAGGAAAAACCCCGACCTTTCATATTTTAGTGCGCAACAAATAAATGAAGTATCCTGGATCATATTAGACCTTATCACCTCAAACTATCTCTTTGTCCTGCGGAGCACGAGCATGACCTCCGGCTGCTGCTGGATTAGAAAGAGAGAGTTGCTCTCTAAGCACCGTATGTGATGACCAGGCGTTCGGTACAATCCCTTGACTAACCGCGACTAGAGAGCTTTGTAGATGGTTTGACTATGTGGCCCATTTTCTTCCATCATACGGCTGCATATCTTTTCACCACAGCAGGTCTTCCGTCCATCCATCCATCTTCTATACCGCTTAATGCTCTTCAAGGTCACAGGGAAACCTGGAGCCTATCCCAGGGAGCATTGGGCACAAGGCGGGGTACACCCTGGACAGGGTACCAGTCCATCACAGGGCACAATTACGTACACTACGGACACTTTAGACACGCCAATCCTACCATGCACGTCTTTGGACGGGGGGAGGAAACCGGAGTACCCGGAGGAAACCCCAGCAGCACGGGGAGAACATGCAAACTCCGCACACACAGGGCAATGGTGGGAATCGAACCCCCGACCCTGGAGGTGTGAACGAACGTGCTAACCACTAAGCCACCGTGCGCCCCCAATAAGGTTAAAAATGTATAAACATTTCGTGTCTCTCTCTCTCTCTCTCCCTGTCAATCAGAGCAACACTAACCAATCATGGGAGTCTCTGAGATCATGTATTCGTTCCCGCAAGCATGAGTAATCATTTGAAAAAAGGTGCGTTGGCTCAGACAAAGCCCTCACCTCCCCAGTTGATAGCTGTCATGTATTCTAGGAAAGCTAGCTATTTGGTGGGAATTGGGGGAATAAATAAATAAATCCGATAAACAAACAAAGACATTTGCACTTTATTTCACTCAAACAACTCCTCCTTTCGGTACAAAGTTTTGTGCTTGGTAAAAACGTATCTACCTTATCAATCTGTCAGAGTCGGCGTGCAGACGGGTTCGCTAACTCGCCAAACATATAAAGTAAGACATACAAGAGTAAAAGTTAGCTAGTCCGGCCGCCTGTCTTTTTCTTTTTCTTCTTTTTTTTTTCCTAATGGAATAGTCCATACTCAGGTCAAGAAGTTAAATCGGTACATTCTCCATCGTAGCTTGTCTACACTCTTCTACAATGCAAATTTGCTGGAACGTTTTTTGCATGCGGCGTTTCTTCACAGCAGATGTCTCGGAGGCATAGCAATTAAACAAGACAGATTTCATCCAGTCAATGTCATTTTGCTTGCAAAACTGAAATGGAAAGGCGCACTCTCGGAAATTAAAGCATCAAACCGTAACTTTCCCTTGTTGGTATTCCTTGTGTATATTCATTACGTGGAAATGTAAAATAAATAAATAAACAATGTGCATTTAACTAAAATCTTACCCTAACTCTAGGTAAAAGATACAGACTACAGGCATCAACATGATACCGTTGCAGAGACAAGGAAATGGTACACTTTGGTAGCTTTCATTCTGAGAGTTTGAATGTGGCAGGCCTTTGGTTTGACTTTAGTTTGCCTTGTTGTAGGGCTCGATGGGGTGAACGTCTTAAGGCAGAGACATCGAGGGGTTCGGTCCTTCAAATAATCCATGATCATCGCTCATACATTGTTTCTTAATCTTGCATCTCTCAAACGATACAACACGACACCATGCCAGAGCAGCAAAAAGCCACTCCTCATTCCAAAAACCTTGACACAGCTGCATCAAGGACCTTCTACCTGTCGCCCATGCAAGGTCTCCAGCTCTGTCGAGCAACGTTCGAGGCTTTACTAACACATCGCAGGCCAGGAAGTTTCTGAAACCCTGCCAGCTTCACACCACCCTGTGAAACGGCCATAGGGAGGGCAGAGTCGTTAAACCCACAGTCCGACTCTGTGTGTGCGATCCCAATCTGCCCTGGTGTCGACGAATGCAATATTCATACATGGCTTTAACAGATGTATCTGGTAGCTTCAACACTATTCCATACATCCAGGAGTTCACATTTGGTGGGATTTTGATTTACGTGAACAGCAAGCACCGTAGTGGTATCGTCCGGAAAAAAACAACAAAAAAACACGACGGGACAATTTCAACATGAATCGATTCTCATACAAGCTTTGTAAAAGCAACGTAACTATTCAGTTCGGTAAATTGTACTGACCGGCAATTGTTACACAATTACACAGTAGCTACACGCCACTGACTCGCCAGCTTTTAAAAAAAAATATCAATAAGGAAATTTGTTCAGGTCGGATTTACTTCAATAAAGCTTTTAAAACACAATCTACTGTGCCTTGCGATAGATCGGCACCCTGTCCAGAGTGGACCCCGCCTCGTGCCCGATGCTTCCTGGGATAGGCTCCAGGTTTCCCCGTGACCCTGAAGAAGGATAAGCGCTATAGAAGATGGATGGATGGATGGATGGAACGCGATCTCCAGTCATTTTTGGGACTCTTTTAATGACATCAATGTTCAAAACTTCTACAATAACGCAACTTAAATGGTTCTGGTTTCAAATTGATGGCATCCTGACCTCTCAGATGCCAATTTAACCCCTGCATACACCCTTTGTGTAAAGAAGCACTACCTGGGTAAAATTTTAGGAGGTGGAAATTTCTAGTTGTGCACCGTACAGCCTTTAAATTGGGGAACTCTACCTCTCATACAAAAGGTATTGCAAAATAGTAAAATCCTCAAATGCTAACGTGAGCATAACGAACTATGTATAAAATAATAATTATGAAGATTAATAGTGAAAACTGTGCTGGGATGAGGGAAAAAAAATAGTCCTTATTTTGGAAATAATATGGCAATCAAATTCGCATGACTTGAGAGTTCGCAAGTTCATCATTCCATGCTGGTGGTTTGTTATTTATCACAGTGTTGTTTTTTGACACGTTCCCCTGCTCTTGATGAATATTTCTGGGGTCTTGAGAATTAATCTAGCATCAGAACTGGGATTAGGGTGCTATTGTCCTCACAGAAGAGCCGCGCAGACACACCAGTCCCTGCATCTAAAGATAACAGCCAGACCCACTCCACCATCTCTATCTCGCCTTCTCTCTCGCTCGTCCCTGTCTCACTCGTGGAAAGAGATGGGGGTGGAAAACTCTCCATGGTAGATTTTGCACGCCAATATTGCCCGTTACACCAAATCTCTTCCCCAGCGCTTACACTGTGCATTCTCCAGAGTTTTATCAAAGAATACAAGACTCTTATACTCGAACCATTGTTATGCTACTGTGTTGACCTTTCCTGTTCCTGTATTTGGCAAAACAACTACGAAGCGTCTTCCTTTGGGCTCTCTGTACATCAGTCCCCGGGACCGGTGGTGGCGTGCCATGCCTCAAAAAGACGAGACACTTCTCTGTTTCTGTCATTCTCACTCTGGTACCCAAGAAGAAACACAAACACGCTCTCCAAGCAAGCAAGCTAGCGAGCACACATAAATACACAAGGAGAACACATATTCTGTCTGATATGAGAATACACTCACAACCAGGCGAGAGAATTTCGACTGAACACGCCCTCATGCAAACACACCATCCGGCACAGGCGAAAAGCGGATATGCCTTTCTTTATCTCCCACATACATATTTCAACGTAAAGCACTGATATTAACATGAAAACATTATTAAGACGTCTAGTAGACTAACTGCACGGAGATGCATGTGTGGCTTTCAAGGCCACTATTAAAACCGGGAAAGCATAAACAGCGCTAACGGCTAACTGTGTTCTGTGACACCCCTGATTGATTAATATTAAATAGATCTCATACTCATTGTGACATAAGGATCTGTATCGGTATTGACGAGTGTCAACAAACATGTTTTTATGCTTGTATCTAGCCCGAATAAATGGCATTGATTCATTTGTAGTTGTTGTTTTTATTTATTTATTTATTTCTACATCCTCTTTTAAAGCAGAACACCGAAAGCCGTCACTGAGCGTAACAACACTCCCATGAAAAAATGTCTTCATGATGGCCATGAGAACATTCCTCAGAAGTTTTGTCACAGAACTGACAAATCAACCCTGAACACTGTGCACCTTTGTTTCCCGATGCTTATTTACATGTGTGATCTGGAGGCCCCGTGCGTCACGTGGATTAGCAAGTACCTGCAGGGGTATACATGGAGGCATTTGCATTTTTCACACGTGCATTTTTTTTTGTTGGTTTTTGCACGAGAAATTCACGGCAAGGAATGAAACGGGCTTGAGGAGGAAAAATGACCGATAAAGCGATCGTGATTTAGTGATGAAAAATGATCGTGTGAGAATAGAAAGTGATACGTATTACCATGAAAGAGAATGATTGCTTGACGGCGATTTTATCTACACGTGCTGAGTCATATCTTCCGGCAGCTCTTGCCTGCTTTCCAAGTGAAGCTAAGCTGGGTTGAGCTTGGCCAGTACCTGGATAGGAGACCAATATCTGGGGAAGTGGTATTAGTGAGGCCAGCAGGGGGTGCTCACCCTGTGGTCCGTGTAGGACCTTATACCCCAATATAACGACTAGGTCCTGGCTCTCTGTGGTCATTAAAAATCCCAAGAGTAGGGGTATAACCCTAATGTGAAATCCCTGGTGAAATCCCACTAATAATCTCCATCCCTGAATTGGCTATATCACTCTCCGGGTACTCTGGTTTCTTCCCCCAGTCCAAAGACATACATGGTAGGTTGATTGGCGTGTCTAAATTGTCCGTAGTGTATGAATGGGTGTGCGAGTGTGTGTGATTATGCACAGGGTGTACCCCGCCTTGTGCCCGATGCCCCCTGGGATAGGCTCCAGGTTCCCCGCGACCCTGAAGAAGGAATAAGCGGTAGAAGATGGATGGATGGACTCTCCTCTCCTCTCTAATAGCCTGGTTCTGGCACGCTGTTGTTGGACCAATCAGGTGGATGCAACAGGCTGGTGCTGGTTGAGGAGATTTCCCAACCAGCACGATCTGGAATTCAATTGGAGCAGGAAACAAGCTCGCATTCTTCAAACTGAAACTTGAAGTAGTGACCATTTCATTTACCAACATTGCCTCTACTTATAGCTGTCCCATGAGTTTCCTGCCATCCTATGCTGTCCTTCTGTGCCGTTCCCCTACGGGTGGGTTTTAGACAAGCATCGTAGAATCGCTTACGCACAATTTACTCAAAAATGGTCTCACACTGCCTGAACTTTGGTCGCGATGGCACTAAACCAGCCGCTGATAATGCGATGCATGTCTCATTATGTGTCCTAAGAACACCGGTTTCAAGTTATGAAAAGAATTCTTTTTTCATGACGTGAAATGTTTCTCACCTGGCGTAAATAGCGATAATTACATTGAAATGCTTGAAATGTAAATTAAAGCAAACCCATTGATTTGTTACATGTTACATCATGTCCAATGGGAAATGCGAATGTGCGAATCCCAGTTACATAGCATTCCAACTCTGCAGGTTTAAATAGTACAAAGCTTGAACGTAAGCAATAAACGTATGAGCATAATGTCAGATATTTGAAACACATTGAGGAAAATTGTGTATGATCTTAGATATCATGAAAAAAAGAAACAAACAACGGTCCACCACTGGGGTAAAATAAAACAAAAATGATTACAAATCT